TTTCAGAATCATACATGATCCAACTGTGAACATATTTGTTAATCTTCTCTAGTCAAATATCAGCTGCATTTTTGTGCACTCGTGTTTGAACATAGTAGGTGAGTGCAAAAGACAAAATGGACATGATTTACATGTGATTGCTGTTCCCTCCCAACATCATTTGCCTTTACCATTCTCTTTCACACATATCATCATTACGTGATATTTAATAGAAGATTCTTTACTTGTGAATATACTAAACTGCGATGATTCTCAGTCTTTTTCATAGTGTAGATGTCATCTTAATAGAGAGATAGAGAGTTGACTGGAACATCTCCACTTCATTTGTGATCACACAAACCTCCTCACCCCCACCCCTTCACAGGTATATAAATGCCTTGTGGAAAGAAAGGCAAATGCATGCATTCAACATTGAGAAAGTATTTAATGTCTTTATAGCTTCTTTTGATACAATTTAGTAGCAAGAAACAAAGAAGACCTTCCAGCACCAAGTGATCAACTAGTTCTCTGTGGATCACTATTTGAGAATTACTGCTATGTTATTGGTTTGGTTTTCCTACAATTTATCCCTTAAAAACTAACAACTGTGCTACTGGTTTGATAGCAGAGTATGACATAGTTACTCTTCATTCCTGTTAACAGGAAGAAACATTCTCATATTGTACATAAACTAGAATTTATCTATTGTACTTTGTAATTCACAGTGAATGACTTTCTTCTGTTGTCTACAAGCAATTACACTTAGTAAGACTGCAAAAGTCATTTTTTAATACATATTGTGAAAGTTTTGTTTTTTCGATTAGTTTTTCAGAGGGCAGAGATGTCATGAGATCTTTAATGTCCAACGTGGTCAGGATCTATTTTCAAAAAGGCGTATGACTTTATATATAGATAAGATTACAAGTTTGGTTTCTAAAAGTGAGAGTGCTTATGTAATATACTTTGTCTTTGGTAAGGCATTTGACTTGGTACTGTACAACATTTTAACTTTTCCTCATTACAGCCTGGAGGAATAGTCTATCTTGATGTCTCATGAACTGCAGGGAAGACCAGAGTTTCTGGGACTGGATACATATAAAAATACTCAAATGCTTCCATGGGACTTGATAGACAGAATTATCTCATTTAGAGATGGGAGGGATGTGTGGAAAGATTAGCCAGCAATTTTTTCCTGGCTTTAGAATGTCTAAAGTTAGACTGGCTGCTTGGACTAAAGGATAGCAAAGAGAGAATAGTCCAAGGGGTTAGTTATGTATAACACTTTAGGAGTCCAGGACCTAGAAGGATTCCAAGGTGGAGCTGCTAAGGATCCCTGGAAAAGGTCCTCATGCTCATCCAAGCGAAGAGGGATGGATGGCTTCTGAGGATAAGGGTTCCAGGAGTAAACCTTGAATGTCAGCCCAAATGATGGCAAGGTTGACCCCAAAAATCTCATGAACCCTCAACATAATTTCCTCATGGCATGGGACAGAAGATAAGTAGGATGTGGAAACCAACAAAATATACCTTACTTGAAGCCACAGAACAAGAGTCAAACTCACAGATGCTAAATAAGGTACTGATTATAGGTACCCAACTTTTGTCTATGACCAGAATTACCGCAAAAAGTGATGTCAAAGCATCTGGTGCTAAGATATATGTCACAGGACAAACCAAGATCAAGAGGCCTGAATCTATAGCAAAATGCCAAATGATGAGGTAACTGATACTGAAGCATCCGAAGGCCAATGATGAAAATATCCCTGATACTGCAGGACTGTTTAGAGCTGTCTTGGTACTGTGTAATCATGGTTTGGGTAGATTTACAGGCCTTGTGGCTCCATTTCTTTTTCTTCTTCCTTAGCTGTAAATGAGAGTCACAGTGCTGGGAAGAAGAGTCTTATGAAAACTCCTTACACCTGCTCTGTGAGTTCAACACCAAAGCCTATATATTGTTTGATGGTAGAGGTGACCCCTTCTAACCTTCACATATGCATTTAGGAGAGAGAGAGAGAGAGAGATCTAAGATTGAGGAGCCTGGTTTTGGTGGCTTGGATTGCATATCTTTACTGGAAGCTGAGTTTGTAGGCATTGGACCTTCCTTAGGCATCAAACTCAGTTGACTACCAGCACTGGAGTCAATGAACTAGGATCTTGATTGCGAGTCTGACAGACATTTGGTCCCAGGGGTTTGAGGCTTATATAGCCACCTCTAGGAGAAGCAGTGGTTCTCTCAAGCTCAGCATGCATGGCTGGAGAAATCCCTGCATATGAAGTGCCTAACAGGACAAAAAGTACTTCTGGTATTTCCTCTGTCAAAGACATGGTGCCACTGCAGGAAGGAAACAGCTTGAAAAGGATGGATGTGACTTCAGTCATCCTAAATACAGAGAAAGGGACCTTCAGCAAAGCTGTGGGAAGCTTGGGTGTGCCTGAGTGGAAGATCCAACAAGGCCATAACATTTGTCAAAAAATATCTAAACATTCTAACACTATAAAAGCAAACAAATAAAATTCCCCTAAACCCGGGGTTTGATGGGGTAGGGATGAGTTTATGCTCACTGCCTGTTGAACTCAAAAGGAAATGAGTGGCACTTTGGGGTGGGTCCCCTTATTTATGGCTGTGAGAGGATATGAGGCAAGAGACATGCAGCTTCAAATGACATTGCAATCTGAATTTGTAAGGCGAAGGAATGCACACTATATGGAGTGGGGCTTCATCCAGGGAATGCACAAAAATACATATTTTAAAACTTTCCTTTAGTATTTCACTCACATCTAGCAGCGTTTAAATAACAATCTAATATTACATGTTTGTTTCAATCTAAAAACATTTGCCTTTTGAGAAGACTCAATTCTTTTACAAGTGTAAAATGAACCACTGTTCCCAAGAACTTTTATTTCCCAGACTCATACTTCTTAGTCTCTTCCAGTGAAAAACTTTGCAGTTCTTCTGAATAACAATAATAATAATAATTAAAACATTAGGAAGGTTAAAAAGCATAGCGAAGGACTTGTTGGGAAAGGTTTGATTATGACGCATTATCGTAAAGATCTTTGCCTTGATTATAGTACAAACTGTTTCACTTTTTACTTTAGATTTGTTCAGACAGAGGGAGAAAGAGATTACTGGCCCAGATTTGCAGTATTGAGTTTTTGTAGAAAGTGCAGTAAAAAAGACATTACTGATTGAATGATCAAATTTTATTTTATTTATTTTTGCTATTACAGCCAGATGTTGCCTCAGGAAGTTGAAACAAGAAGTCAGGAACTGACAGCTTAATAATTAAATTGGGAAAGTTGGCAGGCCTCCTGCTACTTCCTCCAATACACAGCATCTATGAAGGAAAGTGTACAGTATCCCAGTGGCACTCCTTCAGAACTGGCTCATCTATTAGTAGGGTAATGATTTTCCATCAAGGCAACAGCGAAGCACAAGGCCTATTACACAGCTACATAAAGTTAAAAAGACATTATGAATAAAATGTTCATCATGGCTTTTACCAATATTTCTACACAAGATTGCCCAATGCTGACATGTGTTTATTACACTTAATAATGTTTACATAATTCTTCCTTGAACTCATTATAGCTGTCAAAAATCAGAATGGAGTATTCCCCCCGTGTTTATCTCTAAAGACTTTGCAGTTACTAAATCAAGATAAATTGCAGTGATGAGAAGACAGAGGATTCCTTGTGCAGAGCTGCTGGGATGGAAAGCCAACTGTAGCTTTTACATACTGTTTTGAGGAATTTAGGAATAGTTTGAACAGCATTATCCCCCTTATCCCTGTTACGCAACCACCCACTAGAACAGGAAGAATCTGTTGCCTAGCAGAAGTTTGTTTTATCTAAGGCCTCCATCTACTGGGCTGAAAACCGTGGGCCCCATTGCAATACAGCTGTTTTATGATGCTGTGGAAGCAAAAGGAGTTGTAAAAGCAGCATATTTTTTCAATGGGAACTGCCCCTGCTAGTGGCTTCATTAGATGCTATAGAGTTGGCATAACTAGCTCTATGCCACCTTCTAGTATAGTGGGCATGCTGGGGGAATGGCTGTTCCCAGTGCCCTCAAACATCCCAGCATAAATTAAAATAGCCTTGAGGATGCTGTAATTTACACCAGCAGCTGGACCCAGAATAGGGGCATTCCCCTCCCCAACCTCCAACTCTCAACCAGAATGGAGTATCAGGCGCTGTGTTTGGAAAAACTGAGATTATACACTTATTCCCAGCTGAAGTTTTCACCAGTGGGGCTAGAATCTGCCTTTCTGCTGGTAGAAATATGTTGGAGGGGTGCAGAGAAACATGATGCTGCTTCATTCCCCAGCAGGTATACTAGCTAGCTCCACCACAACTCTCTGCCATGTGTCACAAAGGGAGCAGCACACACTTCCTCTATGTCAGGCAGCTGGGCTGGCTGGTGCCAAGGGGTCGAAGGGCCATAGCCATGCCCTTAGGTGCTTTCAGGCAGCTACTACCTAACTCTGTTGCCAACTCTCATGATTTTGTCATGAGACTCCTGATAATTGCTTTTCTTAAAGCCCCAGCTCCTGGAGTCATGGATATGTGATGATTTCAGCCTTCATTACTAAAGAAAAGTAAGTTTCTAGCCCTGGTGGCTGTAGAGAAAGCTTCTCTGATGGTCTGGCAGGCCACTATCGACCAGGTGCGCTTGGAGAGGGCGGGTGGAGGTGGATGTCTTTGACTCTACCTAAATTGTACATGTATCCCTGGGAGGGGGGCACAGAGGTGCCTGCTGAAGCCTGAGGTTCAGAGTAGTGACTGTCCCTCCCAGACATCCACTGGGCTCCTGCTTGCACTTGGATTTTGAAGAGCTCCTCTCTCCTAGGGTTCTTGGGTCTGATCCTCTCCCCCGGGCCTTGGAAGTCCCTGGAACAGCAGGGCGCTTGGGAGCGAGGGACCAGCTCCCCTGCTGCTTCTGGAGGGGGTGGGGCGCAATCAGAAGCCGCGGAACCCGGCCGGCTCCGCCACAGGGGCGGGGCGGAGAGGGCGGGGGAAGCGGGCAGGGGGGTCCGGTTGCTACTGCCGCTGCGCTCTCTCAGCTCGCCGGGAGGCAACGGGGGAGAGGCGAGCGCTGGCCGGCGGCGGCGGCAGCAGCAGTGCTCAGAGCAGGCGGCGGCTGGAGCGAGCGCAGAGGTAAAGGGGGGGCTGTGGGATAGACCGAGCCGGGCGGGTGTGTAGGTGGGCGGGCCAGGCACATGCTGTGTGGGGGGCTGTAGGCGGGTGCGGAGCGCGTGGCACCCAGGAGCAGTGGGGGAAGAGCTGAGGGGTGGTGGATGTAGCGGGCATGAATCGCTGCTGACCTGCTGCAGCTCCGTGCTAGGTCGTGGGGACTGGCCCCTGCAGCTGTACGCTGCACGGATAATTAAATACCACTGCGCCTCCCCCCCCCACCCCCCCGGTAACCCGTGGGCTGTGGTGGAGGCTTGTTCTGCATAGAAGCGCTGCGTTCTTCTGCACCCCCCCCCGGGCCCGATCCTGCAGTACGCTCAGGCCACGCGCCCCGGTGACTTCGATAGGAGTTTGCCCCGGACTTAGTGAACACTGCGTGAGGGCTCCCAGGCTCGGGCCCGGTAAGGCGTGCGGCGCTGCTGCCAAGCCGCGGCTGTGCATGGTGACCCTGAGCGCGTCCCGGAGTAATTCCCCAGGCGCGCGGGCAGCCTGAAGGCTGCTGCATTGCGCGGGGCAGCACAGTTGTGCTGCTGCGGGTATGTCTGACCTGTTCCTCACTGCTCTCAGCTGGAATCTTTGCAACAGTTGCATGGTTTTGTGAGAACAGTGGGTGAGGAGAGAAGTTTGCAGCCCAGCCTCCTGCTCCAGGTAGAAGTGGGCTTATCTGGGGCTCTGTGTTTAGAGAGGCGATCTCTTTCATTGGACCAACTTCTGTTGGTGAGAGAGACAAGCTTTGGAGCCGCACCGAGCTCTGCTTCTAGGTTTAGGGCAGTAAATCCCCCCTTTGTCTGAAGTATCAGACCTAGCGTGTAAGTTGCTTGGTATATAACCTCTCAAGCTCTGAGGTGCAAAGCTTTCTGGGGCAGAAAGGGTGGGAGAGCTAAGTTTTTTTAGTGGTACAGCAATGTACCTGAACTCCTATGAGTTTGTGATTGCTGTTCACTTCTTGCTTTGTGCATAAAAAGAAGCTGGGAGAGCTGTTTTGGGTCCATTCAGAGAGGCATTCTAAGTTTTGCTTTGGTTTAATGGAAACGTGCAGGTGACTTTTTGGGACAGCAGGGAGTTGTAAATATGGCAGTGTGGTGAGTGTGTGCAGCTTTGTTGTGTGGGGAGGGATCCCTGCGTTTGCGAAGTCGTGTGTGCCTAATGGCTAGTAAGACAGCTGGAGTTGAAGCAGAATCGATCAAAAGGATGAAAGAGTTAACCAGACAGAGGAAGGTCACAGGTTCAAGAGCACCGTGGCAGTTGTACTTTTAGCCATTGCCGGCAAGCGCTTGTGTGGAAGTTGCAGTTTGTGCTGGAGAGAGGAGCAGAGGTAACCAAAAAATCTTGCTTGGCTAGCTACTCTAATAGTCTATATTTTGTGAAAGAGATGTTAGCATTGAAACTTGGAGGAGAATAATCAAGATACGCTGCAGTGGCAATTAGTTTGATTATTTTGCAGAACTACTGTATTTGAGAGAGGGGTGGCAAAGTAGAGTTGTAAACCTTCTGTTATTTTATTGCTCCTGCGTTTAGATAATCCCATTTGACAAGTGTTGCACCTATTCCCGTGTTACTTTTGACTGTCAGTGCAGAAGTGAAAGCAGTTTCTGCACAAATAAGAAATAGCTAAAATGAAGCTTTAAACAGGATTAAATGGGTTGTGTAACTGCTGAATGGTACTAAAGTACTGTCAAGGCTATAAAATAGCCAGACAAAAACAAAGAAAAAATAATTGTAACAAGAAAATGAAGGCTTTATAAGAACTTCAGTAATGAACACATAACAATTGATGGCATGATGCAGTAATTATTTTGGTATTTACACCATTAACTATTGTAATTTAACGTTAATGCCTTGTTATTTTATTCCTTCTCATTTGCAGACAAAAGCACATCTGAGACATCATCAGGGAGTAATTTGATAAAGTCATGAATAGAAAACACTAAACTATGCTCAGAACTCTGACAACATAAAGCGTGGGGCAAAGTAACCTCATTTGCTGTTTATTTGTCTTTTATAATTCTGTTTACCATCGTTTGCATAAATGAATAATTAAATTGTATACCGCATCACTTTTTGGTGAAAAAATACTAGATGTTTACATTTGTTCAAAAACTAAGAGTTATTAGCAACGTTAGCTATAAAAAGTAAGCCAAAGTATAATTTTAGAGATAGCACACACATTTAATTTTACAAAATGTACTAACAACCACAGTGGAAATTAAATTTCCTTTAGCCAGCCACTTATTTTATTCTCACTAATTCTGAACAATTTCTTATTTAAATAAAACTAATAAATTGACATCCTATTTGTTTTTCTGAACGAGGAATGCTTTCTACTAATTTTGCAAAGAAAAAGTCAGTTCTGCAGTTAGCACAACTTGTAGTTCACTGTTTTTTGCCTTCTGGGTACTGCTCACACTAAGTCATCATGGTAAATTCCCTGGACCTTTCAGTGGGATCAATTATGTGGATAAGCCTATTCGCATAAGGATCTGTAGGATCAAGTCCACTATCTGTAACAATGAAATATATTTAGCAAGTGTATTATCTAAAGGCTCAGCGGTGTTTGTATTTTTCTATTCTCAAGGCTCTATGCTAGGATATGAAAATATTACAATTATTTATACATCTAAAATATTAATTTCTTAGTAGTAAGTTTTTATTTTGATCGGGGTGAAATCCTGCCCTTTGAAGTCAATGGCAAAACTCCCAATGGCTTCAGTAGGGTAGAGATTTCACCCTTGGTTGAAACACACTTTATAGGAACCATTTATAAGAATTTGGTCTAATACAATAATTTTTGAGAGAAATAAATAAAATAAGACAGATTAAAAAAATGTAGTAGTAGTTACATTTTACATTTAACAAGATGTGTAAGTAATTCTGAAATAAAGACATTTTAAATCAAGATAAGATTAAATGTTTAATACTAACTCAATCCTTTTTTATGCTAGGAGGAGTGTTGGACTCAGGAAATTTACCATGATAGAGTACAATCGATACCCAAAAGAGAGTAAAAGTCAATGAGACCACTTGGGTCTATAAGGACTACTTATGTAAGAGTTTGTAGGCTCTTGCCTACTAGTCATATCGTAATGCAATATATTTTTTGTTGGAACTACTTGTATAAGGACATGTCTAAATTGGAGAGTTATGCTAGTGTAGGTTAAAGTGTCAGTGTAAACCAATGCAGTTATACTGGTATAACCCCCTGTGTTGGCACTCTTATTAGAGTATAAGAGGGTCTTCACTTATGTTGCTTGGGCAGGGATTTAAGCTAAGCAGGAAAAAAAAAGCCACTTATACTGGAATAAGAATGTCCACATGGCGGTTTATAACTGGTTTATCTATGTTGGTTAACTATATATTGGTTTATACTGTTATAATTATGGCGGTATAACTGGTACAACTTTCCTGTGTAGGTAAACTCTAAGAGTATATGCATCAGACCCAATTTGTACTGATCTGATAGCCACAAAAGGCTCATTCCTTGGGTACTTATGCAGGCAAAACTGCCAGTGAAGTAAATGTTGCCTGAATAAAGACTGCAAGATTAGACCTATGGATGATAAAATGTGCTGGCATTAGTGGGTTAGGCATGATAATCAGGTTTTTGACAAATTACATATTGTGAACCAGATTCTCATTTAAACTAATCCCCCTTTACCTCATCCTGGCTGTGCACTCAGATTCTCAAACTCCCATTATGCTGCCCTGGTAATGTAAAGGTGCCTGAAAGTGGGTGTGAATTATACACTTTAGGACCTGTTTTCACTGCAAGAGTGGTGTAAAGCAGCCTTTGTATAAATGAGAATCATATCCTATCAATTTAGAAGAAACCAGAAAGAATATCATGGGCCTGGTTCATCACTGTGCTGCTCCAGTTTCCTCCTGCTGGTGACACAAGGTTGGTGAGATAGTATCTTTTAGTGGACCAAATTCTGGTGGTGATAGAGACAAGCTTTTGAGCTTCACAGAGATCTTCAGGTTTGGGAAATGTACTGAGTGTGTTGCAGCTAAACACAAGGTAGATCAGATTGTTTAGCATAAGTAATTAATACACATTTCAAGGGCCCATTCAAGGTGAAGTGGCCTGCTAACACCTCTCCAGTCAGTGGTGTAGGAGGTAGGTAAGTGGGTTATAGATTGTTGTAAGAAGCATTTGAGGATGAGAACTGAGAGGTCAGGTATAGAAGTGATCGCTTTGTGAGATATGTTCACCCAAGGTGATACGGTGTTTTTGTTTTTGATCATGTTTCTGTGTGAGTTTGAGAGCATAGCAATTGTCTCATTTCACCCACATAGTTGTTACTGGGGCATTTAGTGCACTGGATGAGGTGCATCACATGTTGTGATTGGTATGTGCAGGACCCAGGGATCTTGAAAGGTGTGTTGTGTGGGGTGTTGTAGATCATCTCTCTAATATCCTGTTACCAACACGGCTACAACAACGATCCTCTTACTGGTGTCACTCTTGATTTCCATGAATTTACAGTAGTATAAAACTGTAGTAACACAGTAATGAATTAGACCCATAGTACTATTTCAATTTCTTGTGTGAAATACTGATATTTCCTAGATTGTAAGGGTCTAATTCTCCACTTCCTTGCACCCCGTTTACACCTGGGAAATCATACCCTAAAGAATTAGAATGCTGCCACTTTCACATGTGGTTCAGGAATATGGGAAATGCCTTAGTGGATCAGTCCAGGTGGTTCATCTATTTTGGTATCCTCTCTCTACCACAGGAAGGTGTCCTGTAGTGGACAGTTATGGAATAATTTGAGCATTGGAGAAATTTCTTTATAGCCCCTGTCAGTTGGTAGCTAGCTTATGCCTTGAAGTATGAAGGTTTACATCCCTTCTAAAAGAATCTTTGCTCACATTAGCTCTGTAAATGTCTACTCCTTTTCTGAATCCCAGTAAGCTCTTGGTCTCTTGGGACAATGAGTTCCATAAGTTACTTATCTGTGTTG